AAACAAAAAAATCTATTATAATTGATTGTTGGTTTGTTTGCTTAACATCCAGTGACAAATATTTTATGCATATTCCAGTTTCACTATTGGATGGGAGAAGGCCAGGGATGACCATATTTCTATACCCAAGATAAACCTGTAAAATCTATAATGTTGGAATTTTTTTGACTTCATTGTTTAGATAATAAAACTAAGTACTGTGATGAATCATCACAGCCTACCATTCAATATAGGTCGTTTTCACTTACATTTTGAATCCCATTGTCTTTTCTTAAATCAACCATGATAGTTTTTGGATTATTTTTACAGGTTTGTAATTTTGCTAGTTAAAACGAAATTTGCCAATCTAAAAATTACCAATATTTTTACACAAGTGTTTTTGTCGAGCCTGCGACTTCTGTCGCAGAAAACTTAACATAGGGATAGTGATCAGCAGGCAGTGGCGGTTGCGGCATTAGCTAACTTCTGAAAAGTTTTATATTTTAGAAGGTGGATGTTCTAGATGCTTCATACTTTGTATATAGATGCCTTATGTTATGAAGTTTCCATCTGTCATATGTCCATTGTCCTTGGTCTTATTTTCATGGTTTAGTGACTACTTGAAAAAAAAGTTAAGAATTTTTGTAATGTTAATTTCTTTTTTTATTATGAGTAATAGGATTAGTATGTGCGTACCTTCCAAGGTCCACTTGCCCCTCCAACTGGCAGGTGTTATCTGACCTTGACCTCATTTTCATGGTTCAGTGGTCAAAGTTAAGTTTTTGTGTTTTGGTCTTTTTTTTCTAATACTTTATGCAAAAGGTCAACTATATTTGGTGTATGGAAATATTTTATGATGTACATGTCAGTCTGGCAGGTTTTATTTGACCTTGACCTCATTTTCACGGTTCATTGCTCAGTGTTAAGTTTTTGTGTTTTGGTCTGTTTTTCGTAAACTGTAAGCAATAGGTGAACTATATTTGTTGTATGGAAGGATTGTAAGGTGTACATGTCTGTCTGGCATAGTTCATCTGACCTTGACCACATTTTCATGGTTCATTGGTCAATATAAAAAAGAAGATGATGTATGATTGCCAATGAGACAACTCTCCACAAGAGATGTTTAGTTTTCTTGGTTAAGTCTGTTTCTTAGAAACTATAAGCAATAGGTCAACTATATTTGGTGCATTTAATGATTGTAAGGTGTACATGTATTTCTCGTTTGGTTTTTCTGACCTTGACTTCATTTTCTTCGATCATGTTAAGTTTATGTGACACTTGTAGTAAAGCTTTATTTTTAGGACTATCAACATAAAATCAATGGTGAGTAAAGAAGGCGAGACATTTCAGTGTGTGCACTCTTGTTCCATATTTTACAATATTATATTCATATAATGGAAATGTAATGGAAAAACACATTTGATTAGTTGATGATTTTGTAGAAATCTTACAATAGAAAGTCTAGAACTGGGAATTGGGCTAAGAATTCAAAGGATCAACAGGAATTAAAACATGATGGTATTATCATGAAATTGTCATCCATACCTGGTTAGATATTGATATAAACTACTTAAGTTACATCAGATGTCAATATAGAAAATAATGCTCCTTCCACTTGAGACTGTGAAACATCTAGTTTTAGATATGTTCCCTATGGTATGTTCCCTATGGTCATGTCATTACAGGAGACCTCAACATCGTCGAAGACCGTGAGGTCAAAACTTTTCTTAAGAATGGACCTCAATATCGTCCTCCATCTATAAAAGATTGGAAACAGTGTCGTCAGATCATTAAGGACGCCCTGTCTGCCTACTGTAAAAATTGGTGTAAACATGAAAAATCTGATAAAAAATCTCTAGACAATTACTTGAATAAAATTATGAATACTGTTGATATTCGTATATCTCATTTTGAAAACAATTCTGAAAGTAATGATAGGTTCCATGATATACCCATTTCTAGAATGAAAAATAAACTCGAAATACTCGCAAAGCGGTTTGTGTTCGTACCGGCAGACAAAGCAGCCAATAATGTAGTGGTGGTGTGACGCATATCCTACACAAAAGTTCTCCAATACAAAATTATCAATTCATCTACATTCAGGTCTGTACGGTCCACAGAGAGTCAAATTGTAAACAAGCATATCACTGCCACTACCCAGCTTAAAGCCTCTTCCGAACATTTGAAAGTCCCGACTATGTACTGGTTACCTAAATTACACAAACAACCATTTAAATTCTGTTTCATCTCCGCATCTAGTAAGTGTTCTACTACTAATCTGTCAGTGCTTCCAACTACCACCCTTACTACTATCAAAGAACTTGTTATTGACTTTTGTAATAAAGCTTATGAAAATAATGGTATTAATTTTTTTTGGAGTGTTAAAAATTCTTTAGAGGTTTTAGATAAAAAATGTGCTTTTGATGGTCTTTTAATTCTGTTGACAGTTATGATTTTTCTACTCTCTACACTACGCTTCCACACAATCTTATCAAGAAAAAGTTTTAATATTTTTAAATGGTCTTTTGAAAAATCTCATTGCAAATTTATTTGCTGTAATTCGTTTTAAGCCTTTTTCTGTAACGAAAAAGGAAAGTATGCTAGATACACTTACTGGAAATGTGAAGATATGATTGAAGCTTTAAATTTTCTGCTGGACAACATATATGTAAGTTTAGGCGATAAAGTGTACTGACAGGTAGTAGGTATTCCTATGGGCACTAACTGAGCCCCTTTAATAGCAGATTTATTCCTGTATTGCTATGAATCTCAGTTTATGACCAAACTCAGTAAAGACATGTCATTGTTACATTTGGTTGATACTTTCAACAATACCTACTGTTATCTTGATGATAATTTTTCGTTAAATAATCCAGATTTCTCTAAATATACTACCGATATTTACTCAAAGGAACTTACTTTAAATAAATCTAACATAAACAGCAGTATTTGTCCTTTTCTAGATTAAGACGTTTCAATTTCTAAAGGGAAACTCCATACTAAAATTTACGACAAAAGAGACGATTTTTCATTCCCTATTGTTAATTTTCCTTTTTTAGACACTGATGTTCCTTTGGCTCCATCATACGGTGTTTACAATGTATATATCCGAACTCATTCATTATGCCTGTGTGTGTAGTGATGTCATAGATTTCAACGAAGGTAATCAATGCATCACTGGTAAATTATTAAGTCAGGGATTCAGCTACAATAAATTACTTAAAAAACTTTTACTAAATTCTTTCATAGATACAAAGATTAGATTAGTAAATTTGGCTGTACCTGTAGAAAACTTATTAAAAACGGTATTATACATCCTAAATTTTAAGGTAATATTGTACTTAAAGTGCCCAAATCACTATGTGATCCGTGTAAACTCACTGAACCTTTAAACAAACTTATTAGTAAAGGTTATCTTACCAATGTTGTAATTAGATCTTTGAATATAGTTTACATTGGCACAAATACATGAAATATCGATTTTGTCATCAGCAAATTAAAACATAACTAAATTTGTATTCTTTTCAAACGTTTTTTTGGGATGTATAAATACACATCCACGTTCATTTTCTATATAGAGATTACTATATCTATATATAACATTTATTGTTTTCTGTTTGGTATTAAATTAATATTAAGATCCATTTTTTTAGATCTGGTGATCAATTTATTTGGCAATCGCCAATGGCAGTAAGCAGGGTTTAAGAACATCAGTTATTCGACCTGTTAGTCAAATGCGTTTTGTTAAAATAGACTTTTTCACTTTTTTTGATCTTTTGGAAATTGTTGTTTGTGCTGTATTTAGACCCCTCTACCAAGAAATTTGTTTTACATGCACACATATAAAAATTGTGGTTTTTATCCAACGCAATCATAGGTTTGAAAGTTGTTTTCAATTAAGACTTTTTATATATAACATTATACATATTTATTAAAAGGTTAACTCCTAACTATCCTACTGCCTGTCGATACTTTTATTTTGGCATTGCACAAGTCATGTCTTCTTTGACTGTCCATGATGTTAAAACACTAAATCTCTGGGATGTGTTTTAGTTGATTTTAGTCTCTGATGCATGATTTTTTATTATTGTTTTTGGCTATTAACTAGCTTTCAGTAACTGCGAGTACTCTCAAATCGTACTTTCATGTTAATTCGACCTGTTGATACAATTTGTAATGCATTTTTGTTATTTAATGTTTATTTATTTAGTGTTATATCTCATCTCACTATTTTTAATATATACCACCTTTGATAAGTGTTTGGTATGACGATAAATTTTCACTTCTGTTCTCATACTATGAACAACAAAATAATTTATTTTGTAAAAAATATTTCCGTACTCCATGTATACCTTACAACAAAATTATTTTTATTTACCTGTGTACATTATTTTATTTGGTGGCATTTTGTCCAAGGTTATGGTTGTCTTTCTTGTATTGTTTTACATTTTTCGTTAAATTGTCTTTTGATTTAGTTAAGCCATTTCAGTTGATATTTTATAGTGTGTCTTTCTATGTTGTGATGTTACACTATTGTTTCAGGTTAGGGTGAAGGTTGGCGCCTATTAAAACATTTAAACCAGCTGCATTTGTTTGCACCTGTCCTAAGTCAGGAACCTGATGTTCTGTGGTTGTCGTTTATTGATTTGGTTCATGAGTGTTTCTTGTTTCTCGTTTTTTATATAGATTAGACTGTTGGTTTTCCTGTTTGAATGGTTTTACACTAGTCATTTTTGGGGCCCTTTATAGCTTGCTGTTCGGTGTGAGCCAAGGCTCTGTGTTGAAGGCTGTACTTTGACCTATAATGGTTTACTTTTACAAATTGTGACTTGGATGGAGAGTTGTCTCATTGGCACTCATACCACATCTTCTTATATCTTTATTCAATGCAGCTCTGAAGGATGATTATTTGTGGGAGCCCTCAACAGAGATGTTAAAATTTAATTCAATAGATACCATCAGTTCTGAAGAAACAATGGTTTACTTATAATTGCATAATTTAAATATGTTTATCATTACAGAATCACCTGAAGAAATTGGTTTGACTCCATCTGCATCATCAAGTCTAACATCAAGTACCAACAATAGATCATTAACTCAAAACTGCAGTCTATTCCAACTACCATGTTTCGTCCCATCAAGTCACACAAGTCTAAGCTTCATGCAAACCATTCCCGGCTACAGTTCATATATACCACCACTAAACAGTATACCAAGTCCAAGATACCAAGACTACATCTCAACAAGATCAAGATATACAAGCTACATCCCAACAAGACCAAACTACAGACCAACAAGTTCAAGATATAGCCCACTTAGTCCAAGCTTTAGTCCTATTAGTCCAAGCTATCGACCTACAAGCCCAAGTTACAGTCCAACTAGCCCAAGTTACTGTCCAACAAGCCCAAGTTACAGTCCAGCTAGTCCGAGTTACAGTCCGACTAGCCCAAGCTACAGTCCAACAAGCCCAAGTTACAGTCCAACAAGCCCAAGTTACAGTCCAACCAGCCCAAGCTACAGTCCTACAAGCCCAAGCTACTGTCCTTCAAGTCCAAGCTACAGTCCAACAAGCCCAAGTTACAGCCCAATAAGCCCAGGCTACAGTTCTTCAAGCGCATGGTACAGTTCAACATGCTCAATCTATAGACCAACAAGACCAAGTCACAGTCAAACAAGTCCAAGCTATAGTCCAACAAGCCCAAGTTACTGTCCAACAAGTCCAAGCTATTGTCCAACAAGCCCAAGTTACAGTCCAACAAGTCCAAGCTATAGTCCAGCAAGCCCAAGTTACTGTCCAACAAGTCCAAGCTATAGTCCAACAAGCCCAAGTTACAGTCCAACAAGCCCAAGCTATAGTTCAGATTATAGTGAATTATGGTGATTTTTTTTACAATTTTGCTTTTTACTTTGGGAGACAAAGAGCCTGAAAATTGTCAGGACACCTATTAGTTGATGGGGACTGTTTCAGTGTTTGGAGTGTCTATCACATCTGCAATTTTTGTCGAGCCTGCAACTTCTGTCGCAGAAAGCTCGGCATATTAGGGAAAATTATCCGGCGTCGGCAACGTTAACAAACTTCTTAAAAGCTTTATATTTTAGAAGGTGGAAGACCTGGATGCTTCATACTTTGTATATAGATGCCTTAATCATGTTATGAAGTTTCCATCTGTCATATGTCCGTTGTCCTTGACCTCATTTTTATGGTTCAGTGACTACTTGAAAAAAAAGTTAAGATTTTTTGTAATGTTAATTTCTCTCTTATTATGAATAATAGGATAATTATATTTACTATGTGTGTACCTTCCAAGGTCCTCATGCCTGTCAGACAGTTTTCATCTGACCTCGACCTCATTTCATGGATCAGTGAACAAGGTTAAGTTTTTGTGGTCAAGTCCATATATCAGATACTATAAGCAATAGGTCTACTATATTTGGTGTATGGAATGATTGTAAGGTGTACATGTCCAACTGGCAGGTGTCATCTGACCTTGACCTCATTTTCATGGTTCAGTGGTTAAAGTTAAGTTTTTGTGTTTTGGTCTTTTTTTTTATTACTATATGCAATAGGTCAACTTTATTTGGTGTTGGAAATATTTTATGATGAACATGTCAGTCTGGAAGGTTTTATTTGACCTTGACCTCATTTTCACGATTCATTGCCCAGTGTTAAGTTTTGTGTTTTGGTCTGTTTTTCTAATACTATAAGCAATAGGTCAACTATATTTGGTGTATGGAATGATTGTAAGTTGTATATGTCTGTCTGGCAGGTATCACCTGACCTTGACCTCATTTTCGTGGTTGATTGGTCAATGTTAAGTTTTCATGGTTAAGTTTGTTTCTGAGATACTATAGGTAATAGGTCAACTATATTTGGTGTATCGAATGATTGTAAGGTGTATATGTCTGTCTGGCAGGTATGATCTGACCTTGACCTCATGTTCATGGTTCATTGGTCAATGTTAAGTTTTCATGGTTAAGTTTGTTTCTTAGATACTATAAGCAATAGGTCAACTATATTTAATGCATAGATCGATTGTAAGGTGTACACGTCTCTGGCATGGTTCATCTGACCTTGACCTCATTTTCATGGTTCATTGGTCAATGTTAAGTTTTCCTGGTTAAGTTTGTTTCTTAGATACTATAAGCAATAGGTCAACTATATTTAATGCATAGATTGATTGTAAGGTGTACACGTCTCTGGCATGGTTCATCTGACCTTGACCTCATTTTCATGGTTCATTGGTCAATGTTAAGTTTTCCTGGTTAAGTTTGTTTCTTAGAAACTATAAGCAATAAGTCAACTATATTTGGTTAATGGAATGATTGTATTTTGTGTACATGTATTTCCGGTTTGGTTTATCTGACCTTGACCTCATTTTCTTGGATCAGGTTAAGTTTATGTGATACTTTTAGTAAAGCTTTATATTAAGGACTATCAACATAAAATCAATGGTCAGTAAAGGAGGCGAGACATTTCAGTGTGTGCACTCTTATTTAAATTTTGTGTATGATGATTATAAAACTGAGTTGGTCTAACATAGTTAGAAGACATTGACAGCAATAGCATGCACACCAATTCATGTGATGTTTATATTTCTATATATTTTTAATATATTTATATGTGGTATGATACATATAGATTCTTACATTGGTATTGATAGTTTATCGGATTTTAAGGTCAGAGCCTTGGCAAGGACTTTAAAATTTGATAAATTTACTATCGAGATTGGATAAATCCAAGAATCCACGAGTAACTATGTAAGAATTTGTTTCTCTAATGATTATCAAATAAATTTTAATTTTTTGATAAATGAAAATCCCCTTTGAGTGCCTTCCACATTCCTGATTTCTACGTAATACACTTACGAAATTGATGTGTAAAATCTTCATTTATTTTTCTCTGGATCAAATGGAAGCAAACATTTATAATAGCTTTTAATAAACTTATTCCCCTATTATGATGATTTTTACTTAAAAAGGGCCATTGTTGAAGAATCAGGTGAGCGACACAGGCTCTTTAAAGCCTTAAGTTTTGAGAAACTATTAGATTCTAAATATGTAATATAAAAGAAAAAGAACTTACAATGAATATCTTTAGTTTATAAAGAGCAGATCTTGACAAAGATAACATTTTTCTTTGTGATAAACAAGTGGATTTATTTTATGTAAATGCAAGAAAAAGATTGTGTGTATGTGTGTGTGTGTGATGTTCTTTTCTCCTTTTTGTTATAATGTTGATATTCATATAATATATATTTACAAAAAAGTGGAAGAAATGTAATCAATTATTTAATATTTGTTTTATTCATCAAATCCCTTAACACCATAGTCAAGTGGTGATGTAAAGGGATTATAAAAGCCTGACTACTAAAAAACAAATAAAAAGCTAAAAAACAAAAAGAACATTTCTAAATATTATATGTATAAAATAGACAGGGAAGTGAACAAAATCTACTGGCTAGCAAAGTGTTATTCATTTTTTTGGTCATGGATTATTTTAATCAAAAATTTACACCGGGAAACTATTTGTGCATATAACAATAAGTTAACGCAGTTTAATGCAGATAAGTTATTTCATTTTTAGCTCACCTGGCCCAAAGGGCCAAGTGAGCTTTTCTCATCACTTTGCGTCCGTCGTCCGTCGTCGTCGTCTGGCGTCGTCTGTTAACTTTTACAAAAATCTTCTCCTCTGAAACCACTGGGCCAAATTTAACCAAACTTGGCCACAATCATCATTAGGGTATCTAGTTTAAAAAATGTGTCCAATGACCCCGCCAACCAACCAAGATGGCCGCCATGGCTAAAAATAGAACATAGGGGTAAAATGTAGATTTTGGCTTATATCTCTGAAACCAAAGCATTTAGAGTAAATCTGACATAGGGTAAAACTGATTATCAAGTCAAGATCTATCTGCCCTGAAATTTTCAGACAAATCTGACAACCTGTTGTTGGGTTGCTGACCCTGAATTGGTAATTTTAAGAAAATTTTGCAGTTTTTATACGACCACAAAAATTAAAAATTTTTTGGTCGTATATTGGTATGGCGTCGGCGTCGTCGTTGTCCGGCGTCGTCCGAAGACACATTGGTTTTCGCACTCTAACTTTAGTTTAAGTGAATGGATCTCCATGAAATTTTACCATAAAGTTCTATACCACGAAAGGAAGGTTGGGATTGATTTTGGGGGTTATGGTACCAACAGTTAAGGAATTAGGGGCCAAAAAGGGGCCAAAAATAAGCATTTTTGTAACTTCCAGACAATAACTTGTGTGTAAGTGTATGGATCTCTCTGACATTGTACCACAAGGTTCCATATCACAAAGGGAATGCTGGGATTGATTTTGGGGGTAATTGCCTCAAAATTTTAGGAATTAGGGGCCCAAAAAGGGGCAAAAAACAAGCATTTTTCTAGTTTCATGACAATAACTTGTGTGTAAGTGTTTGGACATTTCTGAAATTGTACTACAAGGTTCCATATCACAAAGGGAAAGCTGGAATTGAGTTTGGGGGTAATTGCCCAAAACGTTTAGGAATTGGGGGCCAAAAAGGGGCCAAAAATAAGCATTTTTCTAGTTTCCAGACAATAACTTGTGTTCAAGTGTATGGATCTCTCTGAAATTGTACTGCAAGGTACCATACCACAAAGGGAAGGCTGGGATTGAGTTTGGGGTGATGAATCATAAGGGGGTTCAAAAAATTTGGGGGGGGGGGGGATTTTTTTTTATTTTCTTTTTTTTTCTTTTTTTCCTTTTTTTTTTCTTTTAAAATTTTCCATTTTAAGTTGGTTATTTCTGATTTATATTTAAAAGCAAATAATAATGATATGGTAGGACATACACACCAAACAGGATGTGTAAATTATTATATAATAAGTATTGTGCAATAGCAAGAAATTTTCAATTGCACAGTATTGCACAATAGCAAGAAATCTTCAATTGCACAGTATTGCGCAATAGCAAGAAATCTTCAATTGCACAGTATTGCGCAATAGCAAGAAATATCCAATAGCACAATATTGCGCAATAGCAAGATATTACCAATTGTACAGTATTGCGCAATAGCAAGAAATATTCAATTGCACAGTATTGTGCAAAAGAAGATACTTCGTATAAATTGCTTATTTCTTGATCAATTTCAGTGGGGTTTTATTCTTGAATTCTTGGGGTTCTTTAATATGCTGAATCTGACCGTGTATTAAGTTTTTGGATTTTGGGCCCCGTTTTTAAATTTGTCCACATTGAGGTCCAAAGGGTCCAAAATTTAACTTTGTTTGATTTCATTAAAAATTGAATTATTGGGGTTCTTTGATATGCCGAATCTAACCGTGTATTTAGATTCTTAATATTTGGTTCCGTTTTCAAATTGGTCTACATTAAGGTCCAAAGGGTCCAAAATTACACTTAGTTTGATTTTAACAAAAATTGAATTCTTAGGGTTCTTTGATATGCTGAATCTAAACATGTATTTAGATTTTTGATTATGGGCCCAGTTTTCAAGTTGGTCCAAATCGAGGTCCAAAATTAAACTTTGTTTGATTTCAACAAAAATTGAATATATGGGGTTCTTTGATATGCTGAATCTAACCATGTATTTAGATTTTTGATTTTTGGGCCCCGTTATTAACTTTGTCCACATTGAGGTCAAAAGGGTCCAAAATTAAACTTTGTTTGATTTCATCAAAATTTGAATTCTAACGGGTTCTTTGATATGCTGCATCTAACCATGTATTTAGATTTTGGATATTGGACCATAATAGGTGAATGTCCAATTTAAAATTTTTAAGTTCTTAGACCACATTCATTCTGTGTCAGAAACCTATGCTGTGTCAAATATTTAATCACATTCCAAATTCAGAGCTGTATCAAGCTTGAATGTTGTGTCCATACTTGCCCCTACTGTTCAGGGTTCGACCTCTGCGGTCGTATCAAGCTGCGCCCTGCGGAGCATTTTATTGGTTATTATCTTGAATATTATTATAGATATAGATAAACTGTAAACAACAATAATGTTAAGCAAAGTAAGATCTACAAATAAGTTGTCATGACCAAAATTGTCAGTCGACCCCGTTAGGAGTTATTGCCCTTAATAGTCAATTTTTAACAATTTTTTGTAAATTTTTGTAATCTTTTACAAAAATTTTCTTCTCTGAAACTACTAAGACAAATTTAACCATACTTGGCAATAATCATTATTAGGATATCTAGTTTAAAAAATTTGTCCGATGACCCCGCCTTCCAACCATCATGGCTGACTTGGTTAAAAATAGAACATAGGGGTAAAATGCAGTTTTTGGTTTATATCTCTGAAACTAAAGCATTTAGAGCAAATCTGACAAGTGGCAAAAATGTTCATCAGATTTAGATTTATCTGCCCTGAAATTTTCAGACGAATCCGACAACCCGTTGTTGGGTTGCTGCCCCTGAGTTAGTAATTTTACAAAAATTTTGCAGTTTTTTGTTATTATCTTAGATATCATTATAATATCTAATATCTAATACTATTAATTATGATTTTAACCTTATTTTACATGATTTCCAAAGCATCAGTAAATACAGGTGAGCGACACAGGCTCTTGAGAGCCTCTAGTTTCTTTTAATCTTCTTTAATTTGATTTTTATATGTACCAGATAGTCAATCAAATCAATCCCTTCTCCATCTTATTGTTGATTGCATGATGACCATCTAAATCACAGCTAGAGTTTTATCATAATCTTTCAGATGTAATTCTTTTAATTCAAAGGACTCTCAAAGGTCTGATATTAAATATACATGTATAGTTATTATTTAACTTTTATGAAAATGAGCTATCTGTTCAGTTTTCAGTCATTGATAGGATTAGTGCATATATTTGAGATCTGTAAATGGGTGATGACTGATCTTTGATTAAGGTCCTCATAATCTTTTGGCTAATGTGGCGGTGTTTACACCACACATTTTACTCTGAGTACAGACAAACCTGCATGTGCATCTGGAAAAGTTTTAAGGCATCAGGCAGGAACTGGATAATTAAATTCTAAATACATTTTATGTTTCAGAAAAGTTATAAACTTTTCTGGACTTTGAGATTCCTTTTT